TGTCTCTGTCTCTCTGTGTGAGTCTCCGTCTGCGCGAGTCTCTGTCTGTGTGAGTCTCTGTCTGTGCGAGTCTCTGTCTCTATGTGTGAGTCTCTGTCTGTGCGAGTCTGTCTGTGTGAGTCTCTGTCTGTGTGAGTCTCTGTCTGTCTCTCTGTGCGAGTCTCTCTCTGTGCGAGTCTCTGTGTGAGTCTCTGTCTCTCTGTGTTAGTCTCCGCGTCCCTCCCCTGCCTCCCGCTCACAGGGAATGTTGATGGCCCCGGGTAGCCCCCCGTACTCCCGGATCTCCCAGGGCTCGCGGACGTCCACCACGTAGGTCTCTGTCTGTGTGAGTCTCTGTCTGTGTGAGTCTCTGTCTCTCTGTGTGAGTCTCTGTCTCTCTGTGTTAGAGTCTCTGTCTGTGTGAGTCTCTGTCTCTCTGTGTGAGTCTCTGTCTGTGTGAGTCTCTGTCTGTGTGAGTCTCTGTCTGTGTGAGTCTCTGTGAGTCTCTGTCTCTCTGTGTGAGTCTCTCTCTGTGTGAGTCTCTGTCTCTGTCTCTCTCTGTCTCTGTCTGTGTGAGTCTCTGTCTGTGTGAGTCTCTGTGTGAGTCTCTGTGAGTCTCTGTCTCTCTGTGTGAGTCTCTCTCTGTGTGAGTCTCTGTCTCTGTCTCTGTCTCTCTCTGTCTGTGTGAGTCTCCGTCTGTGTGAATCTCTGTCTCTCTGTTAGAGTCTCTGTGTGAGTTTCTGTCTCTCTGTGTGAGTCTCCGCGTCCCTCCCCTGCCTCCCGCTCACAGGGAATGTTGATGGCCCCGGGTAGCCCCCCGTACTCCCGGATCTCCCAGGGCTCGCGGACGTCCACCACGTAGGCCTCTGTCTGTGTGAGTCTCTGTCTGTGTGAGTCTCTGTCTGTGTGGGTCTCTGTCTGTGTGAGTCTCTGTCTGTGTGAGTCTCTGTGTGAGTCTCTGTCTGTGTGAGTCTCTGTCTGTGTGAGTCTCTGTGTGAGTCTCTGTCTGTGTGAGTCTCTGTCTCTCTGTGTGAGTCTCTGTCTGTGTGAGTCTCTGTGTGAGTCTCTGTCTGTGTGTGTCTCTGTCTGTGTGAGTCTCTGTCTCTGTGTGAGTCTCTGTCTGTGTGAGTCTCTGTCTGTGTGAATCTCTGTCTCTGTCTCTGTGAGTCTCTGTCTGTGTGAGTCTCTGTCTGTGTGAGTCTCTGTCTCTCTGTGTGAGTCTCTGTCTCTCTGTGTGAGTCTCTGTCTGTGTGAGTCTCTCTGTGTGAGTCTCTGTCTCTGTCTGTGTGAGTCTCTGTCTCTCTGTGTGAGTCTCTGTGAGTCTCTTGTCTGTCCGAGTCTCCGCGTCCCTCCCCTGCCTCCCGCTCACAGGGAATGTTGATGGCCCCGGGTAGCCCCCCATACTCCCGGATCTCCCAGGGCTCGCGGACGTCCACCACGTAGGCCTCTGTCTGTGTGAGTCTCTGTCTGTGTGAGTCTCTGTCTCTCTGTGTGAGTCTCTGTCTGTGTGAGTCTCTGTCTGTGTGAGTCTCTGTCTGTGTGAGTCTCTGTCTGTGAGTCTCCGTCTGTGTGAGTCTCTGTGTGAGTCTCTGTGAGTCTCTGTCTGTGTGAGTCTCTGTGTGAGTCTCTGTGAGTCTCTGTCTGTCTCTCTGTGTGGGTCTCTGTCTGTGTGAGTCTCTGTCTGTGTGAGTCTCTGTCTGTGTGAGTCTCTCTCTGTGTGAGTCTCTGTCTCTCTGTGTGAGTCTCTGTCTCTCTGTGTGAGTCTCTGTCTCTCTGTGTGAGTCTCTGTCTCTCTGTGTGAGTCTCTGTCTGTGTGGGTCTCTGTCTCTCTGTGTGAGTCTCTGTCTGTGTGAGTCTCTGTCTGTGTGAGTCTCTGTCTGTGTGAGTCTCTGTCTGTGAGTCTCCGTCTGTGTGAGTCTCTGTGTGAGTCTCTATGAGTCTCTGTCTGTGTGAGTCTCTGTGTGAGTCTCTGTGAGTCTCTGTCTGTCTCTCTGTGTGGGTCTCTGTCTGTGTGAGTCTCTGTCTGTGTGAGTCTCTCTCTGTGTGAGTCTCTCTCTGTGTGAGTCTCTGTCTCTCTGTGTGAGTCTCTGTCTCTCTGTGTGAGTCTCTGTCTGTGTGGGTCTCTGTCTCTCTGTGTGAGTCTCTGTCTGTGTGAGTCTCTGTCTGTGTGAGTCTCTGTGTGAGTCTCTGTGAGTCTCTGTCTGTCTCTCTGTGTGGGTCTCTCTCTGTGTGAGTCTCTCTGTGTGAGTCTCTGTCTCTGTCTCTCTGTGTGAGTCTCTGTCTGTGTGAGTCTCTGTGTGAGTCTCTGTCTGTGTGAGTCTCTGTCTGTGTGAGTCTCTGTGTGAGTCTCTGTCTGTGTGAGTCTCTGTCTGTGTGAGTCTCTGTCTGTGCGAGTCTCTGTCTCTCTGTGTGAGTCTCCGTCTGTGTCTCTGTCTCTCTGTGTGAGTCTCTCTGTGTGAGTCTCTGACTCTGTCTCTGTCTGTGTGAGTCTCTGTCTCTCTGTGTGAGTCTCTGTCTGTGTGAGTCTCTGTCTTGTGTGAGTCTCTGTCTGTGTGAGTCTCTGTCTGTGTGAGTCTCTGTCTGTGTGAGTCTCTGTGTGAGTCTCTGTCTGTGTGAGTCTCTCTCTGTGTGAGTCTCTCTCTGTGTGAGTCTCTGTCTGTGTGAGTCTCTGTCTGTGTGAGTCTCTGTCTGTGTGAGTCTCTGTGTGAGTCTCTGTGAGTCTCTGTCTCTCTGTGTGAGTCTCTCTCTGTGTGAGTCTCTGTCTGTGTGAGTCTCTGTGTGAGTCTCTGTGTGAGTCTCTGTGTGAGTCTCTGTGTGAGTCTCTGTGTGAGTCTCTGTGAATCTCTGTCTCTCTGTTAGAGTCTCTGTGTGAGTTTCTGTCTCTCTGTGTGAGTCTCCGCGTCCCTCCCCTGCCTCCCGCTCACAGGGAATGTTGATGGCCCCGGGTAGCCCCCCGTACTCCCGGATCTCCCAGGTCTCGCGGACGTCCACCACGTAGGCCTCTGTCTGTGTGAGTCTCTGTCTGTGTGAGTCTCTGTCTGTGTGGGTCTCTGTCTGTGTGAGTCTCTGTCTGTGTGAGTCTCTGTCTGTGTGAGTCTCTGTGTGAGTCTCTATGAGTCTCTGTCTGTGTGAGTCTCTGTGTGAGTCTCTGTGAGTCTCTGTCTGTCTCTCTGTGTGGGTCTCTGTCTGTGTGAGTCTCTGTCTGTGTGAGTCTCTGTCTGTGTGAGTCTCTCTCTGTGTGAGTCTCTGTCTCTCTGTGTGAGTCTCTGTCTCTCTGTGTGAGTCTCTGTCTGTGTGGGTCTCTGTCTCTCTGTGTGAGTCTCTGTCTGTGTGAGTCTCTGTCTGTGTGAGTCTCTGTGTGAGTCTCTGTGAGTCTCTGTCTGTCTCTCTGTGTGGGTCTCTCTCTGTGTGAGTCTCTGTCTGTGTGAGTCTCTCTGTGTGAGTCTCTGTCTCTGTCTCTCTGTGTGAGTCTCTGTCTGTGTGAGTCTCCGCGTCCCTCCCCTGCCTCCCGCTCACAGGGAATGTTGATGGCCCCGGGTAGCCCCCCGTACTCCCGGATCTCCCAGGGCTCGCGGACGTCCACCACGTAGGCCTCTGTCTGTGTGAGTCTCTGTCTGTGTGAGTCTCTGTCTCTCTGTGTGAGTCTCTGTCTCTCTGTGTGAGTCTCTGTCTGTGTGAGTCTCTGTCTGTGTGAGTCTCTGTCTGTGTGAGTCTCTGTCTGTGTGAGTCTCTGTCTGTGTGAGTCTCTGTCTGTGTGAGTCTCTGTCTGTGTGAGTCTCTGTCTGTGCGAGTCTCTGTCTCTCTGTGTGAGTCTCCGTCTGTGTCTCTGTCTCTCTGTGTGAGTCTCTCTGTGTGAGTCTCTGACTCTGTCTCTGTCTGTGTGAGTCTCTGTCTCTCTGTGTGAGTCTCTGTCTGTGTGAGTCTCTGTCTTGTGTGAGTCTCTGTCTGTGTGAGTCTCTGTCTGTGTGAGTCTCTGTCTGTGTGAGTCTCTGTGTGAGTCTCTGTCTGTGTGAGTCTCTCTCTGTGTGAGTCTCTCTCTGTGTGAGTCTCTCTCTGTGTGAGTCTCTGTCTGTGTGAGTCTCTGTCTGTGTGAGTCTCTGTGTGAGTCTCTGTGAGTCTCTGTCTCTCTGTGTGAGTCTCTCTCTGTGTGAGTCTCTGTCTGTGTGAGTCTCTGTGTGAGTCTCTGTGTGAGTCTCTGTGTGAGTCTCTGTGAATCTCTGTCTCTCTGTTAGAGTCTCTGTGTGAGTTTCTGTCTCTCTGTGTGAGTCTCCGCGTCCCTCCCCTGCCTCCCGCTCACAGGGAATGTTGATGGCCCCGGGTAGCCCCCCGTACTCCCGGATCTCCCAGGGCTCGCGGACGTCCACCACGTAGGCCTCTGTCTGTGTGAGTCTCTGTCTGTGTGAGTCTCTGTCTGTGTGAGTCTCTGTCTGTGTGAGTCTCTGTCTGTGTGAGTCTCTGTCTGTGTGAGTCTCTGTCTGTGTGAGTCTCTGTCTGTGTGAGTCTCTCTCTGTGTGAGTCTCTGTCTGTGTGAGTCTCTGTGTGAGTCTCTGTCTGTGTGAGTCTCTGTCTGTGTGAGTCTCTCTCTGTGTGAGTCTCTCTCTGTGTGAGTCTCTGTCTCTCTGTGTGAGTCTCCGCGTCCCTCCCCTGCCTCCCGCTCACAGGGAATGTTGATGGCCCCGGGTAGCCCCCCGTACTCCCGGATCTCCCAGGGCTCGCGGACGTCCACCACGTAGGCCTCTGTCTGTGTGAGTCTCTGTCTGTGTGAGTCTCTGTCTGTGTGAGTCTCTGTCTGTGTGAGTCTCTGTCTGTGTGAGTCTCTGTCTGTGTGAGTCTCTGTCTGTGTGAGTCTCTGTCTGTGTGAGTCTCTCTCTGTGTGAGTCTCTGTCTGTGTGAGTCTCTGTGTGAGTCTCTGTCTGTGTGAGTCTCTGTCTGTGTGAGTCTCTCTCTGTGTGAGTCTCTCTCTGTGTGAGTCTCTGTCTCTCTGTGTGAGTCTCCGCGTCCCTCCCCTGCCTCCCGCTCACAGGGAATGTTGATGGCCCCGGGTAGCCCCCCGTACTCCCGGATCTCCCAGGGCTCGCGGACGTCCACCACGTAGGCCTCGCCGGCGCGGACCAGCTCACGAAGCTGCACAAACGTCACGCTGCGCTGCTCCAGCTTGGCGTCAACGCCACCACCAACGCCACCACCAACGCCACCACCAACGCCACCACCAACGCCACCACCAACGCCGTCAACGCCGCCGCCAGAGACGGAGCGGAGACCCCAGCGGCCCGGGAGGGGGGAGCAGAGCGGGGGGAGGGGGGACGCTGCTGGGGGGTGGGGGAGGGGGAAGGGGAGGGGGGGGAAGGGGAGGGGGAGGAGGGAGAGGGGGGAGAGATGGGGGGAGAGAGGGAGGGGAGATGGGGGGGGGGAGATGATGAGGAGAGAGGGAGGGGAGATGGAGTAGGTGGGGGGGGGGGGGGGGAGAGAGGGAGATGGGGGGGAGATGGGGGGAAGATGGAGGGGAGATGGAGTAGGTGGAGGGGTGGGAGATGGGGGGGAGATGATGAGGAGAGATGGAGGGGAGATGGGGGTGAGATGGGGGGAGAGAGAGAGGGGAGATGGGGGGGGGATGATGAGGAGGGAGGGAGGGGAGAGGAGGGGAGAGAGGGAGGGGGGGGGGAGATGGAGTGGGTGGGGGGAAGATGGAGGAGAGATGGGGGGGGAGATGGGAGGGGAGATGGAGGGGAGATGGAGGGGAGATGGGGGAGAGATGGGGGAGAGAGGGAGGGGAGGGGGAGGAAGATGGAGGGGGAGAGTGGGGTGAGATGATGAGGAGAGATGGGGGGGGAGATGGGGGGGAGATGGGGGGGGAGATGGGGCGAGAGATGGAGGGGAAATGGGGGTGAGATGAGGAGAGAGAGAGAGAGAGAGTTGGTGAGGGGAGAGATGGGCGAGCGGAAGGACAATCTGAGCACAACAACAACAAGCAGCCGCTCAAGACGTCGGCTTCAAACACAAATGGTGAGGACGTCCTTAAGGCGTCTGGGAACGCGACCAGAAGCGACGCCGTGCCTCCGGAAGCTTCCGGAAGCTTCCGGAGGCTTCCGGAGGCACGGCGTCGCCCCCGGGGGAGACGCTCGAGCTTCATGAAGCCGGCAACATTCCGTTCGTTAAACCGCGTTTATTTATCCGTTCCCTTCGTCCGTTACACACGACAAGTCTCGTGTGTAAGAGCGGGTCACCATTTGTTGTTGATAACCACGCAGAGCCTGGCCCTAGCTGATGAGACACTGGGCGGGTTGGCGAGTGGGTGGGTGAGTGGGTGGGCGGGTGGGTTGGTTGGTGAGTGGGTTGGTGAGTGGGTGGGTTGGTTGGTGAGTGGGTGGGTTGGTGAGTGGGTGGGTGAGTGGGTGGGTTGGTTGGTGAGTGGGTGGGTTGGTGAGTGGGTGGGTTGGTGAGTGGGTGGGTGAGTGGGTAGGCAGGTGGGTGGGTTGGTGAGTGGGTGGGTGAGTGGGTGGGTTGGTTGGTGAGTGGGTGAGTGGGTTGGTGAGTGGGTAGGTGGGTGGGTTGGTTGGTGAGTGGGTGGGTGGGTTGGTGAGTGGGTGGGTGGGTTGGTGAGTGGGTGGGTGGGTTGGTGAGTGGGTGGGTGAGTGGGTGGGTTTGTGAGTGGGTAGGTGGGTGGGTTGGTGAGTGGGTGAATGAGTGGGTGGGTTGGTGAGTGGGTGGGTGAGTGGGTGGGTTGGTGAGTGGGTAGGTCAGTGAGTGAGTGGGTTGGTGGGTGAGTAGGTTAGTGGGTGGGTGAGTGGCTGAGTGAGTGGGTGGGTTGGTGAGTGGGTAGGTGAGTGGCTGAGTGAGTGGGTGGGTCGGTGAGTGGGTAGGTGGGTGGGTTGGTGGGTGGGTTGGTGAGTGGGTGGGTTGGTGAGTGGGTAGGTGGGTGGGTTGGTGAGTGGGTGGGTGAGTGGGTAGGTGGGTGGGTTGGTGAGTGGGTGGGTGGGTTGGTGAGTGGGTGGGTGAGTGGGTGGGTGAGTGGGTGGGTGAGTGGGTGGGTGAGTGGGTGGGTTGGTGAGTGGGTAGGTGGGTGGGTTGGTGAGTGGGTGGGTGAGTGGGTAGGTGGGTGGGTTGGTGAGTGGGTGGGTAGGTGGGTGGGTTGGTGAGTGGGTGGGTGAGTGGGTGGGTTGGTGAGTGGGTGGGTGAGTGGGTAGGTGGGTGGGTTGGTGAGTGGATGGGTGAGTGGGTGGGTTGGTGAGTGGGTGGGTGAGTTGGTGAGTGGGTTGGTGAGTGGGTTGGTGAGTGGGTGGGTGAGTGGGTGGGTTGGTGAGTTGGTAGGTGAGTGGGTGGGTGAGTGGGTTGGTGAATGGGTGGGTTTTGGAGTGGATGTGCTGGTGAGTGGGCGGGTGAGTGGGTGGGTGATTGGGTGGTTGGAATGTGAATCTGTGGGTGTGTTGGTATGTTAATGAGTGGGTGTGTTGGTATGTGAGCGAATAAGTGGGCGAGTGAACCCATGAGTGGGTAGGTGGGTGGCTGAGTAGGTTAGTGGGTGGGTGGCTTGGTAGGTTAGTGGGTGGGTGAGTGAGTTGGTTAGTGGTGGATGTGTGAGGGTAGGTGAGTTGAGTGGGTGGGTAGGTGAGTGGGTAGGTAGGAAGGGTGAGTGGGAAGGTGGGTCAGTGGGTGGGAAGGTGAGTGGGTTGAAAGGGTGAGTGATTGAGTGGGTAGGTGGGTGAGTGGGTGGGTAGGTGAGTGAGTGGGTAGGTGGGTGAGTGGATAGGTGAGTTGAGTGGGTGGGTGTGAGGGGTGGGTGAGTAGGTGTATGAGTGGATGGGTGAGTGCGCGGGTGAGCAGGTGGGTGAGTAGGTTAGCGAGTGGGTGAGTGGGTAGGTGAGTTGAGTGGATAGGTGAGTTGAGTGGGTGGGTGTGAGGGGTGGGTGAGTAGGTGGATGAGTGGATGGGTGAGTGCGCGGGTGAGCAGGTGGGTGAGTAGGTTAGCGAGTGGGTGAGTGGGTACAAAGGGTGAGTGGGTAGGTGGGTCAATGGGTGGGTGAGTCTGTGAGTGGGTGAGTGAGTGGGTACGTTTGTGGGTGAGTTGAGTGGGTGGGTGTGGGTGTGCGTGAGTAGGTTAGTGTGGGTGTGTGTGTATGCAGGTATGTGTGTAGGTTAGTGTGTGTGGGTGTGCGGGTGGGTGTGTGGGTGTGCGGATGGGTGGGTGAGTGGGTAGGTGAGTAAGTGGGTAGGAAGGGTGATTGGGAAGGTGGGTCAGTGAGTGGGTAGATGAGTTGGTGGGTAAATTCGTCGGTGGGTGGGTGAGTGGGTGGGCGAGTGGGTGGGCGAGTGGGTGAGTAGGTAGGTGGGTGGGAGAGTTGAGTGGGTGAGTATGTGGGTGAGTAGGTGGGTGAGTAGGTGGGCGAGTAGGTGGGCGAGTGGGTGGGCGAGTAGATGGGCGAGTAGGTGGGCGAGTAGGTGGGCGAGTAGTTGGGTGAGTGGATGGTTAAGTAGGTGGGCGAGCAGGTGGGTGAGTAGGTGGGTGAGCAGGAGGGGCGAGTAGGTGGGTGAGTGAGTGGGTGGGTGAGTAGGTGGGCGAGTAGGTGGGTGAACAGGAGGGGCGAGTAGGTGGGTGAGTAGGTGGGTGAGTAGGTGGGTGAGCAGGTGGGTGAGTAGGTGGGCGAGCAGGTGGGTGAGTAGGTGGGTGAGTGAGTGGGTGGGCGAGTAGCTGGGTGAGTAGGTGGGTGAGCAGGAGGGGCGAGTAGGTGGGTGAGTAGGTGAGTGGGTGGGCGAGTGGATGAACGTCACAGATCAAGTGACATCGTTTGGCCATTGTGAGCGAGCAGTCACAAATTCACATTTCACCAACTTAGGAAACAGCTGCCACTGGGGGTGCCCCTAGGCGAGACCACACAGCAGCAGCAGTGACCATTACTACCCCTACTACTGGCAGCAGACTGACACAACACCACCATCACCACCACCACCATCACCACCACCCTCACCACCACCACCACCCTCACCATCAACACCACCATCACCACCACCACCCTCACCATCACCACCACCCTCACCATCAACACCACCATCACCACCAACACCACCACCACCCTCACCATCAACACCACCCTCACCATCAACACCACCCTCACCATCAACACCACCCTCACAATCACCACCACCACCACCCTCACCATCAACACCACCATCACAATCACCACCACCCTCACCATCAACACCACCATCACCACCACCACCCTCACCATCACCACCACCCTCACCATCAACACCACCATCACCACCAACACCACCACCACCCTCACCATCAACACCACCCTCACAATCAACACCACCCTCACCATCACCACCACCACCACCCTCACCATCAACACCACCCTCACCATCAACACCCTCACCATCAACACCACCACCACCCTCACAATCACCACCACCCTCACAATCACCATCAACACCAACACCACCCTCACAATCACCACCACCCTCACCATCAACACCACCATCACCATCACCACCACCCTCACCATCAACACCACCCTCACCATCAACACCACCACCACCACCACCACCCTCACCATCAACACCACCCTCACCATCAACACCACCATCACAATCACCACCACCATCACCACCACCCTCACCATCAACACCACCATCACCATCACCACCACCCTCACCATCAACACCACCCTCACCATCAACACCACCCTCACCATCAACACCACCACCACCACCCTCACAATCACCACCACCCTCACAATCACCACCACCCTCACCATCAACACCACCCTCACCATCAACACCACCCTCACAATCACCACCACCCTCACAACCACCACCACCCTCACCATCAACACCACCCTCACCACCAACACCCTCACCATCAACACCACCCTCACCATCACCACCACCACCCTCACAATCAACACCACCCTCACCATCAACACCACCCTCACCATCAACACCACCCTCACCATCAACACCACCCTCACCATCACCACCACCCTCACAATCACCACCACCCTCACCATCAACACCACCATCACCACCACCCTCACCATCAACACCACCACCCTCACAATCAACACCACCCTCACCATCAACACCACCACCACCACCATCAACACCACCCTCACCACCAACCACCACCCTCACCATCAACACCACCCTCACCACCAACACCCTCACCATCAACACCACCCTCACAATCACCATCACCACCACCCTCACAATCAACACCACCCTCACCATCAACACCACCCTCACCATCAACACCACCCTCACCATCAACACCACCCTCACCATCACCACCACCCTCACAATCACCACCACCCTCACCATCAACACCACCCTCACCACCAACACCCTCACCATCAACACCACCCTCACAATCACCATCACCACCACCCTCACAATCAACACCACCCTCACCATCAACACCACCCTCACCATCAACACCACCCTCACCATCAACACCACCCTCACCATCACCACCACCCTCACAATCACCACCACCCTCACCATCAACATCACCATCACCACCACCCTTCACCATCAACACCACCACCACCACCATCAACACCACCCTCACCACCATCAACACCACCCTCACCACCAACCACCACCCTCACCATCAACACCACCCTCACCACCAACCACCACCCTCACCATCAACACCACCATCACAATCACCACCACCCTCACCATCAACACCACCACCCTCACCATCACCACCACCCTCACCACCAACCACCACCATCAGCACCACCATCACCACCAACCACCACCCTCACAATCACCACCACCCTCACCATCAACACCACCCTCACAATCACCATCACCACCACCCTCACAATCAACACCACCCTCACCATCAACACCACCCTCACCATCAACACCACCGTCACCATCACCCTCACCATCACCACCACCCTCACCATCAACACCACCCTCACCATCAACACCACCCTCACCACCAACCACCACCATCAGCACCACCATCACCACCAACCACCACCCTCACAATCACCACCACCCTCACCATCAACACCACCCTCACAATCACCACCACCCTCACCACCACCCTCACAATCACCACCACCCTCACAATCACCACCACCATCACCACCAACCACCACCCTCACAATCACCACCAACCACCACCCTCACCACCAACCACCACCCTCACAATCACCACCACCCTCACAATCACCACCACCCTCACCATCAACACCACCCTCACAATCACCACCACCCTCACAATCACCACCACCCTCACCATCAACACCACCCTCACAATCACCACCACCCTCACCATCAACACCACCCTCACAATCACCACCACCCTCACCATCAACACCACCATCACCACCAACCACCACCCTCACCACCAACCACCACAACCCCCACCACCCTCACCATCAACACCACCATCACCACCAACCACCACCCTCACCACCAACCACCACCCTCACCACCAACCACCACCCTCACAATCACCACCACCCTCACCATCAACACCACCATCACCACCAACCACCACCCTCACCACCAACCACCCTCACCACCACCCTCACCCTCACCACCACCACCCTCACCATTACCACCACCACCCTCACCATTACCACCACCCTCACCACCAACACCCTCACCATCAACACCCTCACCAACCACCACCCTCACAATCACCACCACCCTCACCATCAACACCACCATCACCACCAACCACCACCAACCACCACCCTCACCACCAACCACCACCACCCTCACCACCACCACCCTCACCATTACCACCACCCTCACCACCACCACCCTCACCACCAACACCCTCACCACCAACACCCTCACCACCACCCTCACCACCAACACCCTCACCACCACCATCATAATCACCACCACCACTACCACCACCCCCTTCACCACCTTCACTACCAACACCCTCACCACCACCCTCACCACAACCACCACCACTCTCTCCAGCACCCTCACCACCAACACCCTCACCACCAACACCCTCACCACCAACACCCTCACCACTACCACCCTCACCACCACCACCCTCACCACCACCATCCTCACCACCACCATCCTCACCATCACCACCCTCACCACCAACACCCTCACCATCACCAACCTCACCATCACCACCCTCACCACCACGTTCATCATCCCCCTCACCACCACCACCCTCACCATCACCACCCTCACCATCACCACCCTCACCACCCTCACCACCACCCTCACCACCACCCTCACCACCACGTTCATCATCCCCCTCACCACCACCCTCACCACCACCACCCTCACCACCACCACCCTCACCACCACGTTCATCATCCCCCTCACCACTACCACCCTCACCACTACCACTCTCACCACCACCATCCTCACCACCACCACCCTCACCACCACCCTCACCACCACCACCCTCACCACCACCACCCTCACCACCACCACCCTCACCACCACCACCCTCACCACCACCACCCTCACCACCACCACCCTCACCACCACCACCACCCCCACCACCACCACCCTCACCACCACCACCACCCTCACCACCACCACCCTCACCACCACCACCCTCACCACCACCACCCTCACCACCACCACCCTCACCACCACCACCCTCACCACCACCACCACCACCCTCACCACCACGTTCATCATCCCCCCTCCCTCCACCTGCCCACTCACCCTTGCTGCTGTTGCTGTTGGTGAGGGACTTGGTGAGCAGCAGGCGGTGCCCGCTCCTCACCCCGGGACTCGGGGCAGCAGCAGCAGCGGCGGCGGTGCGGAGGAGGAGACGCGGGGCCATTCGGCACAGCATGGCGACAGTGGTGGTGGTGAATAAGGTGGTGGTGGTGATGTAGTGGTGGTGGTGATGTAGTGGTGTAGTGGTGGTGATGTAGTGGTGGTGGTGATGGTGGTGATGTAGTGGTGGTGGTGATGTAGTGGTGTAGTGGTGGTGGTGGTGATGTAGTGGTGTAGTGGTGGTGATGTAGTGGTGGTGGTGATGTGGTGGTGGTGATGTAGTGGTGTAGTGGTGGTGATGTAGTGGTGGTGGTGATGTGGTGGTGGTGATGTAGTGGTGTAGTGGTGGTGATGTAGTGGTGGTGCTGATTAGGGTGATGGTGATTAGGGTGGTGGTGATGTGGTGGTGGTAGTGTGGTGGTGGTAGTGTGGTGGTGGTGATGTGGTGACTAGGGTGGTGATGGTGCTGTAGCGCCAAGCTAAACAACACCAACAACACAAACAACACCAACAACACAAACAACAACAACACAAACAACAACACAAACAAACAACAACACAAACAACAACAACAACCAGCGCTAAAACCGTCAATTGCCAAGTTAAACCACCGCGGCCGCGTCTGAGGTAAACATTTAAAAAAAAGGGAACCAAAAAAATAAACGAACCCGGAGTTGAACTTTCTCCGCTCAACAAAGTCGCCGGCTCGAGTAACTGTTGGCGATATTTAATGGCAGCTAGTTTTGTTATTTACAAATTAAAAAAAAATTAAAAAAATTCGCCTTGACGAGAGGGGGTAAAAAAGTTACAGCGACCTTGTCACGTCGCTTGCACGCTCGGGTTTTATTGGCCCTGTGTTTACCGTTCCGGTAGACATCTTCCGGAAGAGGAAGTAGATTCCGGCTTCTGATTTGGGTAGATATCTTCCGGAAGCGGGAAGAGTGAGTTTTGCTGTTCCTGGGAGACGTCTTCCGGAAGATGAAGATTGCGATTTAATTAATGCGGTAGATGTCTTCCTATTCCGGTAGACGGCTTCTGATTGCGTTTATTCCGGTAGACGTCTTCCGATTCAAGGAGACGTCTTCACATTCTGGTAGACTTCTACTGATTCCGGTAGATCTCTTCCGATTTCAGAGGACGTCGTCACATTCTGGTAGACGTCTTCCGAATCCGGTAGAGCTACGAGCGGCCTCTAAGCTCGCGTGAGGCTTTCGCGACAAACTTTAAAAGTCGCAGTGATATTGACGCGATATAAACGCCTTGTAATGAATAAATAAATCAAATATCCCTCATTGATTAAGGAGAGTTTATTGTTTAAATAGTTTACATAGTTTACATAGCTGTGGTGTTGATGCGGTGAGGGGGAGGGCCGATCGCGATACGAGCAAGCAGAAATAAAACGTCGCGAACGGGTCGCGAAAGGTCGCGACAAACAGCAAACAACCGCGGGGCGGTCGCGACAAACAACGACAGGCGACGAGACGCGGCGGGTTGGTGGGTGAGAGACCGAGGCGGGCCACGCCTTGCCTGGTTTCTCTGCCGGGCTTTGGGTGCGCGGAGCCGGCGAGGGAAGTAGGCCGAGGTGGGTTGGGGGGGGGGTTGTCGTGAAAGTGTTCGTGACGACCCTAGGTCGACTCGGCCTCAAGTAAACATCGCCAATTGGGGAGAGACAAAGGCGGCCGGGCGTGCTTTGTGGGTGAATGGGTGAGTTAGTGGGTGAGTGAGTGACTGGGTGAGAGACCGAGGCGGGCCACGCTTTGCCTGTTTTTTTCTGCCGGGCTTTGGGTGCGCGGAGCCGGCGAGAGAAGTAGGCCGAGGTGGGTTGGGGGGGTGTCGTGAAAGTGTTCGTGACGACCCTAGGTCGACTCGGCCTCAAGTAAACATCGCCAATTGGGGAGAGACAAAGGCGGCCGGGCGTGCTTTGTGGGTGAATGGGTGAGTTAGTGGGTGAGTGAGTGACTGGGTGAGAGACCGAGGCGGGCCACGCTTTGCCTGTTTTTTTCTGCCGGGCTTTGGGTGCGCGGAGCCGGCGAGAGAAGTAGGCCGAGGTGGGTTGGGGGGTGTCGTGAAAGTGTTCGTGACGACCCTAGGTCGACTCGGCCTCAAGTAAACATCGCCAATTGGGGAGAGACAAAGGCGGCCGGGCGTGCGTGGTGGGTGAATGAGTTAGTGGGTGAGTGAGTGTGTGGGTTGGTAGTTGAGTGGGTGAGTGGGTGGGTGAGTTGGTAGTTGAGTGGGTGAGTAGGTGGGTGGGTGAGTGAGTGAGTTGGGTGAGTGAGTGGGTGTGTGGGTTGGTAGTTGAGTGGGTGAGTGGGTGAGTTGAGTGAGTGAGTGGGTGTGTGGGTTGGTAGTTGAGTGGGTGAGTAGGTGGGCGAGTGAGTGTGTGAGTTGAGTAAGTGAGTGGGTGAGTGGGTTGGTAGTTGAGTGGGTGAGTGGGTGGGTGAGTGAGTGGGTGAATTGGGTGGGTGTGTGGGTTGGTAGTTGAGTGGGTGAGTAGGTGGGTGAGTGGGTGAGTTGGGTGAGTGAGTGGGTGAGTGGGTTGGTAGTTGAGTGGGTGAGTAGGTGGGTGAGTGGGTGAGTGAGTTGGTAGTTGAGTGGGTGAGTTGGGTAAGTGAGTGGGTGAGTGGGTTGGTAGTTGAGTGGGTGAGTAGGTGGGTGAGTGAGTGGGTGAGTTGGGTGAGTGAGTGGGTGAGTGGGTTGGTAGTTGAGTGGGTGAGTAGGTGGGTGAGTTGGGTGAGTGAGTGGGTGAGTGGGTTGGTAGTTGAGTGGGTGAGTTGAGTAAATGAGTGGGTGTGTGGGTTGGTAGTTGAGTGGGTGAGTAGGTGGGTGAGTGAGTGGGTGAGTTGGGTGAGTGAGTGGGTGTGTGGGTTGGTAGTTGAGTGGGTGAGTAGGTGGGTGAGTGAGTGGGTGAGTTGGGTGAGTGAGTGGGTGTGTGGGTTGGTAGTTGGGTGGGTGAGTAGCTGGGTGAGTAGGTGGGTGAGTGAGTGAGTGGGTGAGTTGGGTGAATGAGTGGGTGTGTGGGTTGGGAGGTGAGTCAGTGTGTGAGTTGCACTGGGGAGAGACAAAGGCGGCCGGGCGTGGTGCTGGCCACCCACCCCCTCTGTGTGTGCCACAGTGCCGGTAGCCTTCATAGGCGCCCGCTAACAGCACTTGCCCCTACAGTCCGTGAAAGGCTACACGGGGGACCTTTATTTTGTTAGTGACCAGCGGTGTCAAGATCGGCCTCTGTGTGGTGGAGGAGGCTCGTGAAGGACGCTGCTGTCACTGGGCAGTGCCAGGCTAGGTGCACCTTGAGGCTACTAGGCAGGCCGAGTGGTTTAAAATGTTTCCTGAATTTGTATTTTTTTCCACAGAAGTAAGAAGGAGGAGTTGTCGGTGCTCAGAACTTAATCATGGTAACTCATCAAAGACACAGTCACACGGACACACACACAGAGACACACACAGACACACACATAGACAGACACACACACAGACAGACACAGACACATACACAGACAGACACATACACAGGCAGACACATACACAGACAGAAACACGCAGACACACGCAGACACACAGAGACACACGCAGACACACACAGACACACCCAGACACACAGACACATACACAGACAGACACAGAGACACACACAGACACACACATACACAGACAGACACATACACAGACAGACACACGCAGACACACAGACACACACACAGACACAGACAGACACACACACATACACACAGACACACACACAGACAGAGACACACACAGTTACACAGACACACACACACAGACAGACACACAGACAGACAGACACATACACAGACAGACAGACACACGCAGACACACACAAAGACACGCTCACACAGACTCGCACACACAGACACACACACAAAGATAAAGACAAAGATCCCCCGTATAGCTTTAACAGACTGTAGGGGCAAGTGCTGTTAACTAGTAGCACCTATGAAGGCCGGAACGGCACACGAGGGGGTGGGTGGCCAGCACCTCGCCCGGCCGCCTTTGTCTCCCTAGTGGCGATGTTTACACACCGCTACACCAGGTACTCATTTGAGGCTGAGTCGACCTAGGGGAGGCCCGGGACCGGTTCAGATAATCGTCACTGACGGTGTTGGCCGTGAGCGGGAATCAAACCCAGGTCGCCAGGTTCTTAGCGCAGCGTAGCGCTAACCACTACACTACCACTCCCCACAAGACACACACACACACACAAAGATACACAGACACATACACGTGTGTATGTGTGTGTGTCTGTGTGTCTCTATGTAACGTGTGTGTGTCTGTGTGTGTGTCTGTGTAACGTGTGTCTATGTGTGTGTGTCTGTGTGTGTGTCTGTGTGTGTCTATGTAACGTGTGTCTATGTAACGTGTGTGTGTCTGTGTGTGTGTCTGTGTGTGTGTCTGTGTGCGTGTGTCTGTGTGTGTGTGTGTCTGTGTGTGTGTCTGTGTGTGTCTATTTAACGTGTCTGTGTGTGTGTCTGTGTGTGTGTCTGTGTGTGTGTGTCTGTGTGTGTCTGTGTGTGTGTCTATTTAACGTGTCTGTGTGTGTGTCTGTGTGTGTCTGTGTGTGTGTGTGTCTGTGTGTGTGTCTGTGTGTGTGTCTATTTAACGTGTCTGTGTGTGTGTCTGTGTGTGTCTGTGTGTGTCTGTGTGTGTGTCTGTGTGTGTGTCTGTGTGCAGGGTGAACGCAAGGGAGTCAACAAGTACTACCCTCCAGACTTCGACCCAGCCAAGGTGGCTACCGACTGGCATCATCATCAGCAGCTGTAGCAGTTGTAGCAACAGCAGTCCTAGTAGCAACAGCATCATCAGCAGCATCAGCAGTAGTAGCAACAGCATCAGCAGCAACATCATCAGCAGCAGTAGTAGTAGTAACAGCATCATCAGCTGCAGTAGCATCAGCAGTGGTAGCATCATCATCATCAGCTGTAGCAGTAGTAGCAACAGCAGTCCTAGTAGCAACAGCATCAGCAGCAGCATCAGCAGTAGTAGCAACTGCATCAGCAGTCATAGTAGCAGCATCAGCAGTAGCAGCATCAGCAGCAACATCATCATCAGCAGCAGTAGTAGTAGTAACAGCATCATCAGCTGCAGTAGCATCAGCAGTGGTAGCATCATCATCATCAGCTGTAGCATCAGCAGTGGTATCAGCATCAACAGCATCATCAACTGCAGTAGCATCAGCAGTGGCATCAGCATCATCAACAGCATCATCATCAGCTGCAGTAGCATCAGCATCATCAACAGCATCATCATCAGCAGTGGTATCAGCATGATCATCAGCTGCAGTAGCATCAGCAGTGGTATCAGCATCACCAGCATCATCATCAGCTGCAGTAGCATCAGCAGTGGTATCAGCATCATCATCAGCAGTGGTATCAGCATCATCAGCGTCATCATCAGCTGCAGTAGCATCAGCAGTGGTATCAGCATCATCAGCAGCAGTGGTATCAGCATCATCATCAGCAGTGGTATCAGCATCATCATCAGCAGTGGTATCAGCATCATCAGCGTCAGCATCTGCTGCAGTAGCATCAGCAGTGGTATCAGCATCATCATCAGCAGTGGTATCAGCATCATCAGCGTCATCATCAGCTGCAGTAGCATCAGCAGTGGTATCATCATCATCAGCAGTGGTATCATCATCATCAGCAGCAGTGGTATCAGCATCATCATCATCAGCAGTGGTATCAGCATCATCAGCGCCATCATCAGCTGCAGTAGCATCAGCAGTGGTATCAGCATCATCATCAGCAGTGGTATCAGCATCATCAGCGTCATCATCAGCTGCAGTAGCATCAGCAGTGGTATCAGCATCATCATCATCAGCAGTGGTATCAGCATCATCAGCGTCATCATCAGCTGCAGTAGCATCAGCAGTGGTATCAGCATCATCATCAGCAGTGGTATCAGCATCATCAGCGTCAGCATCTGCTGCAGTAGCATCAGCAGTGGTATCAGCATCATCAGGAGCAGTGGTATCAGCATCATCAGCGTCATAATCAGCTGCAGTAGCATCAGCAGTGGTATCATCATCAGCAGTGGTGTCAGCATCATCATCATCAGCAGTGGTATCAGCATCATCATCAGCAGCAGTGGTATCAGCATCATCATGATAATGATCACCACCACCACCACCACTCTCCCTGTCTGTGCCCCCAGCACGGCTCGCTCAATGGCTACCACAAGACTCACGCCTTGCGGGAGAGAGCTCGCAAGCTATCTCAGGGTATCCTCATCATCAGGTGATCACTCACCACGCACTCACCACTCACTCACCACTCACTCACCACTCACTCACTCACCACTCACTCGCTCGCTCACTCACTCACCACTCACCACTCACTCACCACTCACTCACTCACCACTCACCACTCACTCACTCACCACTCACTCACCACTCACTCACCACTCACTCGCTCACCACTCACTCGCTCACTCACCACTCAATCACTCACCACTCACTCACCACTCACTCACCACTCACCACTCACTCGCTCACTCGCTCACTCACTTGCTCACCACTCACTCACTTACCACTCACTCACTCAACCACTCACTCGCTCACTTACCACTCACTCACCACTCACTCACTCACTCACCACTCACTCACTCACCACTCACTCACTCACTCACCACTCGCTCACCACTCACTCACTCGCTCACTCACCACTCACTCACTCACCACTCACCCACTCACTCACCCACTCACTCACCACTCACTCACCACTCACTCACTCACCACTCACTCACTCACCACTCACTCGCTCACTCGCTCACTCACTCACCACTCACTCACCCACTCACCACTCACTCACTCACCACTCACTCACCACTCACTCACTCGCTCACTCGCTCACCACTCACTCACCACTCACTCACCACTCACTCGCTCACTCGCTCACTCACTTGCTCACCACTCACTCACTTACCACTCACTCACTCAACCACTCACTCGCTCACTTACCACTCACTCACCACTCACTCACCACTCACCACTCACTCGCTCACCACTCACTCGCTCACTCACTCACCACTCACTCACCACTCACTCACCACTCACTCAACCACTCACCACTCACTCACCACTCACTCACCACTCACTCACCACTCACACTCACTCGCTCACCACTCACTCACTACTCACCACTCACTCGCTCACTTACCACTCACTCACCACTCACTCACTCACCACTCACTCGCTCATCACTCGCTCACTCACTCACCACTCACTCACCACTCACTCACCACTCACTCACTCACTCACCACTCACTCACCACTCACTCACCACTCACTCACTCGCTCACCACTCACTCGCTCACCACTCACTCGCTCACTCACCACTCAATCACTCACCACTCACTCACCACTCACTCACCACTCACCACTCACTCGCTCACTCGCTCACTCACTTGCTCACCACTCACTCACTTACCACTCACTCACTCAACCACTCACTCGCTCACTTACCACTCACTCACCACTCACTCACTCACCACTCACCACTCACTCACCACTCACTCACCACTCACTCACCACTCGCTCAACCACTCACTCACCACTCACTCACTCACCACTCGCTCACCACTCACTCACTCGCTCACTCACCACTCACTCACCACTCACCCACTCACTCACCACTCACTCACCACTCACTCACTCACCACTCACTCACTCACCACTCACTCGCTCACTCGCTCGCTCGCTCACTCACTCACCACTCACTCACCCACTCACCACTCACTCACTCACCACTCACTCACCACTCACTCACCACTCACTCACCACTCACTCACTCGCTCACTCGCTCACCACTCACTCACCACTCACTCACCACTCACCACTCACTCGCTCACTCGCTCACTCACTTGCTCACCACTCACTCACTTACCACTCACTCACTCAACCACTCACTCGCTCACTTACCACTCACTCACTCACCACTCACCACTCACTCGCTCACCACTCACTCGCTCACTCACTCACCACTCACTCACCACTCACTCACCACTCACTCAACCACTCACCACTCACTCACTCACCACTCACCACTCACTCACCACTCACTCACCACTCACTCACCACTCACTCACCACTCACTCACACTCACTCGCTCACCACTCACTCACCACTCACCACTCACTCACCACTCACCACTCACTCACCACTCGCTCACCACTCACTCACCACTCACCACTCACTCGCTCACTTACCACTCACTCACCACTCACTCACTCACTCACCACTCACTCGCTCACCACTCACTCGCTCACTCACTCACCACTCACTCACCACTCACTCACTCACCACTCACTCACCACTCACTCAACCACTCACCACTCACTCACTCACCACTCACTCACCACTCACTCACCACTCACTCACCACTCACTCACTCGCTCACTCGCTCACTCACTCGCTCACTCGCTCACCACTCACTCACTTACCACTCACTTACCACTCACTCACTCACTCACCACTCACTCACTCACTCACCACTCACTCACCACTCACTCACCACTCACTCGCTCGCTCGCTCACTCACTCACCACTCACTCACCACTCACCACTCACTCACTCACCACTCACCACTCACTCGCTCACTCGCTCGCTCACTCACTCACCACTCACCACTCACTCGCTCACTCACTCGCTCACTACTCACTCACTCGCTCACCACTCACCACTCACTCACCACTCACTCGCTCACTCGCTCACTCACTCGCTCACTCACCACTCACTCACTCACTCACCACTCACTCACCACTCACTCACCACTCACTCACCACTCACTCACTCACCACTCACTCACCACTCACTCAGCACTCACCGCTCACTCGCTCACTCACTCACTCACCACTCACTCACCACTCACTCACCACTCACCACTCACTCACCACTCACTCACTTACTCACCACTCACTCACCACTCACTCACCACTCACTCACTCGCTCGCTCGCTCACTCACCACTCACTCACCACTCACTCACTCGCTCACTCACCACTCACTCGCTCACCACTCACTCACTCACCACTCACCACTCACTCACTCGCTCACCACTCACTCACTCACCACTCACTCACCACTCACTCACCACTCACTCACTCACCACTCACTCACCACTCACTCGCTCGCTCACTCACCACTCACTCACCACTCACTCACCACTCACTCGCTCACTCACCACTCACCACTCACTCACCACTCACTCACCACTCACTCACCACTCACTCACCACTCACTCACCACTCACCACTCACCACTCACTCGCTCACTCGCTCGCTCACTCACTCACCACTCACTCACCACTCACTCGCTCACTCACTCGCTCACCACTCACTCACTTACCACTCACTCACCACTCACTCACCACTCACTCGCTCACTCGCTCACTCACTCACTAACCACTCACTCGCTCACTCGCTCACTCACTCACTAACCACTCACTCACCACTCACTCACCACTCACTCGCTCACTCGCTCACTCACCACTCACTCATCACTCACTCACCACTCACTCACTCGCTCACCACTCACTCACCACTCACTACTCACTCACCACTCACTCGCTCGTCACTGACTCACTCGCTCACCACTTGGTCATCGCACACTCACCAACTCACTCATCCACTCACCACTCAATTACAACTCACCAGCACCGCTCACCACCGCTCACCACCGCTCACCCCGGTGATGCTGTGTGTGGTGGTGCAGGTTTGAGATGCCCTACAACATCTGGTGTGACGGCTGTGGAAACCACATCGGCATGGGTAACCTTACCAACAACTCTACCACTACCACCAACGTTACCACTACCACCAACGTTACCACTACCACCAACGTTACCACTACCACCAACGTTACCACTACCACCAACTCTACCACTACCAACAACTCTACCACTACCACCAACTCTACCACTACCCTTACCACTATCACTACCCTTACCCCTACCCTTACCACTACCCTTACCACTACCCTTACCACTACCCCTACCCTTACTACTACCCTTACCACTACCACTACTTTACCACTACCCTTACCACTACCCTTACCACTACCACTACCCTTACCACTACCCTTACCACTACCCTTACCACTACGCTTACCACTACCCTTACCACTACCCTTACCACTACCACTACCCTTACCACTACCCTTACCACTACCCTTACCACTACCCTTACCACTACCACTACCCTTACCACTACCCTTACTACTACCACTACCCTTACCACTACTACTACCCTTACCACTACCACTACCCTTACCACTACCCTTACCACTACTACTACCTTTACCACTACCACTACCCGTACCACTACCCTTACCACTACCCTTACCACTACCCTTACCACTACCACTACCCTTACCACTACCCTTACCACTACCCTTACCACTACCACTACCCTTACCACTACCCTTACTACTACCACTACCCTTACCACCAACTTTACCATTACCACTACCCTTACCACTACCACTACCCTTACCACCAACTTTACCACCAACTTTACCACCAACTTTACCACTACCACGACGCCATCTAATACCACTACCCCTACACCTAACCCTACAACATCTGTGTCTATGTGTATGTGACTATGTGTGTGTCTATGTGTGTGTCTGTGTGTTTGTGTCTATGTGTATGTGTCTATGTGTGTGTCTGTGTGTTTGTGTCTATGTGTATGTGTCTATGTGTGTGTGTGTCTGTCTGTGTGTGTCTGGCCTCAAGGTGCACATAGCCTGGCACAAGTGTCGTGGTGACGTCACCGCCACTTAGTGGCGAATAGCGGTTGTTGTGTCTATATGTGTCTGTGTGTCTGTGTGTGTGTCTATGTGTGTCTATGTGTGTCTGTGTGTCTGTGTGTGTGTGTCTGTGTGTGTGTGTGTGTGTCTGTGTGTGTGTGTGTCTGTGTGTGTGTGTCTATATGTGTCTGTGTGTCTATGTGTGTCTGTGTGTGTGTCTATGTGTGTGTCTGTGTGTGTGGGAATGTCTGTGTGTCTATGTGTGTCTGTGTGTGTGTGTCTATGTGTGTGTCTATGTGTGTGTGTCTGTGTGTGTCTGTGTGTGTGTCTATATGTGTGTGTGTCTGTGTGTGTGTCTATGTGTGTATGTCTGTGTGTGTGTGTCTGTGTGTGTGTGTCTATATATGTGTGTGTCTATATGTGTGTGTCTATGTCTGTCTATGTGTATGTGTCTATGTGTGTGTGTGTCTATGTGTGTGTGTGTGTAGGTGTACGATACAATGCAGAGAAGAAGAAAGTTGGTAACTACTACACCACTCCTATATACAGGTACACACACGGTGGTGAGTGGTGGGTGGGTGGGTGGTGAGTGTGTGTGTCAATGGTGAGTGTGTGTGTCAATGGTGAGTGTGTGTGTCAATGGTGAGTGGTGGGTGGGTGGGTGGTGAGTGTGTGTGTGTGTCAATGGTGAGTGCCTGTGAGTGGTGAGTGTGTGAGTGAATGTGAGTGTGTGTATGTGTGAGTGAATGTGAGTGTGTGAGTGAATGTGAGTGTGTGAATGTGTGAGTGGTAAGTGAGTGAGTGAATGTGAGTGTGTGAGTGAATGTAGTGTGTGTATGTGTGAGTGTGTGAGTGAATGTGAGTGTGTGTGAGTGAATGTGAGTGAATGTGAGTGAATGTGAGTGTGTGTATGTGTGAGTGAATGTGAGTGTGTGTATGTGTGAGTGGTAAGTGAGTGAGTGAATGTGAGTGTGTGAGTGAATGTAGTGTGTGTGAGTGAATGTGAGTGTGTGAGTGAATGTGAGTGGTAAGTGAGTGAGTGAATGTGTATTTGTGAGTGAATGTGATTGTGTGTGTGTGTGAGTGGTGAGTGTGTGAGTGAATGTGAGTGTGTGTATGTGTGAGTGAATGTGAGTGTGTGAGTGAATGTGAGTGTGTGTATGTGTGAGTGAATGTGAGTGTGTGAGTGTGTGTGAGTGAATGTGAGTGTGTGAGTGAATGTGAGTGTGTGTATGTGTGAGTGGTAAGTGAGTGAGTGAATGTGAGTGTGTGTATGTGTGAGTGTGTGAGTGAATGTGAGTGTGTGTATGTGTGAGTGTGTGAGTGAATGTGAGTGTGTGTACGTGTGAGTGGTAAGTAGTAAGTAGTGAGTGTGGGGAGTGGTAGTGTAGTGGTTAGCGCTACGCTGTGCTATGAACCTGGCGACCTGGGTTCGATTCCAGCTCACGGCCAACACCGCCAGTGACGATTATCTGAACCGGTCCTGGGTCTCCCTTAGGTCGACTCAGCCTCAAATGAGTACCTGGTGCGGTGTGTAAACATCGCCACTCGGGGAGACAAAGGCGGCCGGGCGTGGTGTTGGCCACCCACCCCCTCGTGTACCGTTCCGGCCTTCATAGGTGCTCGCTAACAGCACTTGCCCCTACAGTCTGTTAAGGCTATATGGGGGATCTTTATCTTTATGTATGTGTGTATATGTGTGCGTGTGTTTGTGCGTGCGTGTATATGTGTGTGTATATGTGTGTGTATGTCTGGACCACTGGACAGGTTCCGCAGGATTGGAAGGATGCCCTGGTGGTCCCCCTCTTTAAGAAGGGGGACCGCACAGACTAACAACTACAGGGGCATCTCACTCCTCAGTGTGCCGGGAAAGGTCCTGGCAAGGATTATTCAACATTGCCTTGCCAGGCACGCTGAGGAGAGGCTTGCGGAGCCCCAATGCGGTTTCAGGAAAGGGCGGTCCTGCACAGATGCCATATTTTCTGTCCGTCTGCTACAGCAGAGGTGTAGGGAATTCCAACACGACCTACATCTATGCTTTATTGACCTGGTCAAGGCCTATGATACCATCAGTAGGCCTGGGCTCTGGGTCGTTCTTCGTGCTTTTGGAGTCCCTGACCCTCTGCTCATGATCATTAAGGACCTTCATGATGGTGAGTGGGCCCGGGTAAAACTACGTGGCCGGGAATCAGAGCCATTCCCTGTGCACCTTGGGGTGCGACAGGGATGTCCTCTGGCTCCCACATTATTTAACATCTATTTTGACCATGTAGTTCGTGAAGCCTTCAATAGCTGTACCAGGAGAATCTCCATTTGGTACAGATATAATGGGTGGCTGATCGATGCCCGGGTGCGGTCAAGGGATGGCTCCCTATTGCTCAACCACGTTATGTATGCCGATGATTTGGTAATAGCTGCTCATTCAGAGGAGGAGTTGGAGATGCTGCTGCTGAGACTGGAGCGTGCCACTAACAGATGGGGCCTTACCATCAGCCCCACCAAAACTAACCACCTGCCTGGGTATTTTGTACCATCGACAACACTCCACCCCCACAACTCCCAATCGGTGATGGGGCAGTTGTGGAGAGAGTGGAGAGTTTCCCATACCTGGGCAGTGTGCTTATGACCGGCTCCGGTTTAACAGCAGAGGTCTCAGTCCGAATCAGTCGAGCGGCAATATCTTTTCATCGGTTGCGTAACGCTGTGTGGAAGCTACCTGGTCTGTCGCTCCGCACTAAGCTTCAGGTCTTCTCGACCACAGTCATTCCCTCCCTTCTCTACGCTTGCGAAACGTGGACCCCCTTAATGGAGCATCTTCGCCGGTTAGAAACATTTAGGCTGGCCTGCCTACGATCCATCCTGGGTTTAACCAGGCTGGATTGTGTGAGGAGCTCACAAATCCTTGAAAGATCTGGGCAAGGTCCCATCGGTGAGCTCCTCCGGCAGGCAAGGCTGTGATGGCTGGGTCATGTAGCCCGCATGCCCGGCCACTGCATGCCGAAACAGCTTTTGTTCGGCCGGATCGAGGGGGCTAAACGGGCGCGGCACGGGCTAGAGAAGAGATGGAGTGATGTGGTACAGGAGGACGTGGAGCTGAGTGGACTTGCCGATGACTGGTACCAGCGGTGTCAAGATTGGCCTCTGTGGAGGAGGCTTGTGAAGGATGCTACTGGGCAGTTGGAGGCAGTCGCCCTCCAACAACAACGGAGGGCGGAGGAGCGACGCTCAGAACAACGAGCGGAGCGCCGGGTGGCTAAAGCACAGCAGGTTGGCACAGTAGGGGGCACAGGTGGTGCATCAGCCAGTAATCTCAGTCAGTCGACCCGTGGCACCTGCTGGGTCTGCCCCGTGACCTCCTGCCAGCGGGCGTTCGACACTTCACGTGGCCTTAGGGTGCACATAGCCTGGCACAAGCGTCGTGGTGACGTCACCGCCACTTAGTGGCGAATGGCGGTTGTTGTGTGTATGTGTGTGCGTGCGTGTGCGTGTGTGTGTATGTGCGTGTGTGTGCGTGTGTGTGTATATGTGCTTGTGTGCGTGTGTGTGTGTGTTTGTTTAGGTTCCGCATGAAGTGCCACCTGTGCGTGAACTACCTGGAGATGCAGACAGACCCCGCCTCCTGTGACTACGTCATCGTGAGCGGAGCGCGCAGGAAGGAGGAGCGATGGGACGGCAACGACAACGAACAGATCCTGGCCACCGGTGGGGGACGCTCGGTCGCTCGCTCAGTTAGTCAGTCACTCAGTCAGTCAGTCAGTCACTCAGTCGCTCAGTTAGTCAGTCACTCGGTCGCTCAGTTAGTCAGTCACTCGGTCACTCAGTTAGTCAGTCACTCAGTCGCTCGCTCAGTTAATCAGTCAGTCGGTCACTCAGTCGCTCGCTCAGTTAGTCAGTCAGTCGGTCGCTCAGTTAGTCAGTCACTCGGTCGCTCAGTTAGTCAGTCACTCGGTCGCTCAGTCAGTCAGTCACTCGGTCGCTCAGTTAGTCAGTCACTCGGTCGCTCAGTTAGTCAGTCGCTCGGTCGCTCAGTTAGTCAGTCACTCGGTCACTCAGTTAGTCAGTCACTCAGTCGCTCGCTCAGTTAATCAGTCAGTCGGTCACTCAGTCGCTCGCTCAGTTAGTCAGTCAGTCGGTCGCTCAGTGAGTCACTCGGTCGCTCAGTTAGTCAGTCGCTCAGTCGCTCGCTCAGTTAGTCAGTCACTCGCTCGCTCAGTTAGTCAGTCGCTCAGTCGCTCGCTCAGTTAGTCAGTCACTCGCTCGCTCAGTTAGTCAGACGCTCGGTCGCTCGCTCAGTTAGTCAGTCACTCAGTCAGTCAGTCAGTCGGTCGCTCAGTCGCTCAGTTAGTCAGTCGCTCGGTCACTCGCTCAGTCAGTCAGTCACTCGGTCGCTCGCTCAGTTAGTCAGTCAGTCGGTCGCTCAGTGAGTCACTCGGTCGCTCAGTTAGTCAGTCGCTCGGTCGCTCGCTCAGTCAGTCAGTCACTCGGTCACTCAGTCAGTCAGTCGGTCGGTCGCTCAGTTAGTCAGTCACTCAGTCGCTCGCTCAGTTAGTCAGTCACTCAGTCGCTCAGTTAGTCAGTCACTCGGTCGCTCAGTTAGTCAGTCACTCGGTCGCTCAGTTAGTCAGTCACTCAGTCAGTCACTCAGTCGCTCAGTTAGTCAGTCACTCGCTCGCTCAGTTAGTCAGTCGCTCAGTCGCTCGCTCAGTTAGTCAGTCACTCGGTCGCTCAGTTAGTCAGTCACTCGGTCGCTCAGTTAGTCAGTCACTCAGTCGCTCAGTTAGTCAGTCGCTCGGTCGCTCAGTTAGTCAGTCACTCGGTCGCTCAGTTAGTCAGTCAGTCGGTCGCTCAGTGAGTCACTCGGTCGCTCAGTTAGTCAGTCGCTCGGTCGCTCGCTCAGTCAGTCAGTCACTCGGTCACTCAGTCAGTCAGTCGGTCGGTCGCTCAGTTAGTCAGTCACTCAGTCGCTCGCTCAGTTAGTCAGTCACTCAGTCGCTCAGTTAGTCAGTCACTCGGTCGCTCAGTTAGTCAGTCACTCGGTCGCTCAGTTAGTCAGTCACTCAGTCAGTCACTCAGTCGCTCAGTTAGTCAGTCACTCAGTCGCTCAGTTAGTCAGTCACTCGCTCGCTCAGTTAGTCAGTCGCTCAGTCGCTCGCTCAGTTAGTCAGTCACTCGGTCGCTCAGTTAGTCAGTCACTCGGTCGCTCAGTTAGTCAGTCACTCGGTCGCTCAGTTAGTCAGTCACTCAGTCGCTCAGTTAGTCAGTCGCTCGGTCGCTCAGTTAGTCAGTCACTCGGTCGCTCAGTTAGTCAGTCACTCGGTCGCTCAGTTAGTCAGTCACTCGGTCGCTCAGTCAGTCACTCGGTCGCTCAGTTAGTCAGTCACTCGGTCGCTCAGTTAGTCAGTCGCTCGGTCGCTCAGTCAGTCACTCGGTCGCTCAGTTAGTCAGTCACTCGGTCGCTCAGTTAGTCAGTCACTCGGTCGCTCAGTTAGTCAGTCGCTCGGTCGCTCAGTCAGTCACTCGGTCGCTCAGTTAGTCAGTCACTCGGTCGCTCAGTTAGTCAGTCGCTCGGTCGCTCAGTCAGTCACTCGGTCGCTCAGTTAGTCAGTCACTCGGTCGCTCAGTTAGTCAGTCACTCGGTCGCTCAGTTAGTCAGTCACTCGGTCGCTCAGTTAGTCAGTCACTCAGTCGCTCAGTTAGTCAGTCGCTCGGTCGCTCAGTTAGTCAGTCACTCGGTCGCTCAGTTAGTCAGTCACTCAGTCGCTCAGTTAGTCAGTCACTCGGTCGCTCAGTTAGTCAGTCGCTCGGTCGCTCAGTTAGTCAGTCACTCAGTCACTCAGTCAGTCACTCACTCGGTCGCTCAGTCAGTCACTCAGTCAGTCAGTCACTCACTCGGTCAGTCAGTCGCTCAGTCAGTCAGTCGCTCAGTCAGTCGCTCAGTCAATCGCTCAGTCAATCGCTGTCAATCACTTGATCGCTCAGTCACTGTCACTCACACGGTCGCTCAGTCAGGCACTCAGTCAGTCACTCACTCGCTCAGTCAGTCGTTCAGTCAGTCGCTCACTCAGTCAGTCGCTCAGTCGCTCACTCAGTCAGTCGCTCAGTCAATCGCTCAGTCGCTCACTCAGTCGCTCAGTCAGTCGCTCAGTCAGTCGCTCAGTCAGTCGCTCAGTCAGTCGCTCAGTCAGTCACTTGGTCGCTCAGTCGCTCAGTCACTCAGTCAGTCGCTCACACGGTCGCTCAGTCAGGCACTCAGTCACTCAGTCGGTCGGTCGCTCAGTCAGTCACTCTGTCGCTCAGTCAGTCGCTCACTCATTCTCTCACTCACTCGCCCATCCACCCACTCCCCCATCCACTCACTCACTCACTCGCCCATCCACTCACTCACTCCCCACCCACTCACCCACTCACTCACCCACCCACCCACCCACTCACCCACCCACTCACTCACTCACTCACCCACCCACCCACTCACCCACTCACTCCCCCACTCACTCACCCACTCACCCACTCACTCACCCTCTCCCCCACCCACCCACCCACTCACCCTCTCCCCCACCCACTCACCCACTCACCCTCTCCCCCACACACCCACCCACTCACCCTCTCCCCCACCCACCCACCCGCTCACCCTCTCCCCCACCCACCCACCCGCTCACCCTCTCCCCCACCCACCCACTCACCCTCTCCCCCACCCACCCACTCACCCTCTCCCCCACCCACTCACCCACCCACCCACTCACCCACCCACTCACCCACCCACTCACCCACTCACCCACCCACCCACTCACCCACTCACTCACCCACCCACCCTCCCACTCACCCTCCCACCCACCCTCCCACTCACCCACCCACTCCCCCACCCACCCACCCACTCACCCACCCACCCACCCACTCACCCACCACCCCTCCCACTCACTCACCCACCCACCCACTCACCCACTCACTCACCCACCCACCCACCCACTCACCCTCCCACTCACCCACCCACTCACCCACCCACTCACCCACCCACTCCCCCACCCACTCCCCCACCCACCCACCCACTCACTCACCCACCCACCCACTCACCCACCCACTTACCCACTCACCCACTCACCCACCCTCCCACCCACCCATTCACCCACCCACCCTCCCACCCACCCTCCCACTCACCCACTCACCCACTCACCCACCCACCCACTTACCCACTCACCCACTCACCCACTCCCCCACCCATTCACCCACCCACCCACTCACTCACCCTCTCCCCCACCCACTCACTCACTCACCCACCCACCCACCCACTTACCCACTCACCCAATCACCCACCCTCCCACCCACCAATTTACCCACCCACCCTCCCACCCACCCTCCCACTCCCCCACCCACCCACTCCCCCACCCACCCACCCACTCACTCACCCACCCACCCACCCACTCACCCTCCCACCCACTCACCCTCCCACTCACCCACCCACTCACCCACCCACTCACCCTCCCACTCCCCCACCCACTCCCCCACCCACCCACCCACTCACTCACCCACCCACCCACTCACCCACCCACTTACCCACTCACCCACTCACCCACCCTCCCACCCACCCATTCACCCACCCACCCTCCCACCCACCCTCCCACTGACCCACTCACCCACCCACCCACTCACCCACCCACTTACCCACTCACCCACTCACCCACTCCCCCACCCATTCACCCACCCACCCACTCACTCACCCTCTCCCCCACCCACTCACTCACTCACCCACCCACCCACCCACTTACCCACTCACCCAATAACCCACCCTCCCACCCACCAATTTACCCACCCACCCTCCCACCCACCCTCCCACTCCCCCACCCACCCACTCCCCCACCCACCCACCCACTCACTCACCCACTCACCCACCCACCCTCCCACTCCCCCACCCACCCTCCCACCCACTCACCCACCCTCCCACTCACCCTCCCACCCACCCACTCACTCACCCACTCACCCACCCACCCTCCCACTCCCCCACCCACCCTCCCACCCACTCACCCACCCTCCCACTCACCCACCCACCCACCCACTCACTCACCCACTCACCCACCCACCCTCCCACTCCCCCACCCACCCTCCCACCCACTCACCCACCCTCCCACTCACCCACCCTCCCACTCACCCACCCACCCACCCTCCCACCCACCCTCCCACTCCCCCACCCACCCACCCACCCTCCCACTCACCCACCCACCCACCCACTCACTCACCCACTCACCCACCCACCCTCCCACTCCCCCACCCACCCTCCCACCCACTCACCCACCCTCCCCCTCACCCACCCACCCACCCACTCACTCACTCACCCACTCACCCACCCACCCTCCCACTCCCCCACCCACCCTCCCACCCACTCACCCACCCTCCCACTCACCCACCCTCCCACTCACCCACCCACTCACCCACCCACTTACCCACTCACCCACTCCCCCACCCATTCACCCACCCACCCACTCACTCACCCTCTCCCCCACCCACTCACTCACTCACCCACCCACCCACCCACTTACCCACTCACCCAATAACCCACCCTCCCACCCACCAATTTACCCACCCACCCTCCCACCCACCCTCCCACTCCCCCACCCACCCACTCCCCCACCCACCCACCCACTCACTCACCCACTCACCCACCCACCCTCCCACTCCCCCACCCACCCTCCCACCCACTCACCCACCCTCCCACTCACCCACCCACCCACCCACTCACTCACCCACTCACCCACCCACCCTCCCACTCCCCCACCCACCCTCCCACTCACCCACCCACCCACCCACTCACTCACCCACTCACCCACCCACCCTCCCACTCCCCCACCCACCCTCCCACCCACTCACCCACCCTCCCACTCACCCACCCTCCCACTCACCCACCCACCCACCCACCCTCCCACCCACCCTCCCACTCCCCCACCCACCCACCCACCCTCCCACTCACCCACCCACCCACTCACTCACCCACTCACCCACCCACCCTCCCACTCCCCCACCCACCCTCCCACCCACTCACCCACCCTCCCACTAACCCACTCCCCCACCCACTCCCCCACCCACTCACCCACTCCCCCACTCACCCACCCACCCTCCCACTCACTCTCCCACCCACTCCCCCACCCACCCTCCCACTCCCCCACCCACCCACCCACTCACCCACTCACCCTCCCACTCCCCCACCCACCCACTCACCCACCCACCCTCCCACCCACTCACCCACCCACCCACCCACTCCCCCACCCACTCACCCCCCCACCCACTCACCCACTCACCCCACTCACTCACCCTCCCACCCACCCTCCCACTCTCCCCCCGTGTCTCAGAGCACGAGGAGAAGCGGCGGCTGGAGACGGACGCCATGTACCGCCTGGAGCACGGCGACCGTGACCGGGCCAAGCTTGCGGCCGCCGCCCCGTCGCTGGCCCGGCTGGTGGCCCTCCGCTCGGCACGTCGGCACGACGGGGACGCCAACAGCCTGGCACGGCGGAGATTCCGGGTGAGGGGTCGTGAGCTGCCACCACTGCTGACTCCACCACCACTAACACCACCTGAACCACCACTTACACCACTAACACCACTACCTACACCACTACCTGAACCACCTACACCACCACCTACACCACCACTAACACCACCTGAACCACCACTAACACCACTAACACCACCACTATCACCACCACCTACACCACCACTAACACCACCTGAACCACCACTAACACCACTACCTACACCACCACTAACACCACTAACACCACCTGAACCACCACTTACACCACTACCTACACCACCACCTACACCACCACTAACACCACCACTAACACCACTAACACCACTAACACCACCACTTACACCACCACTATCACCACTTACACCACCACTAACACCACTACCTACACCACCACTAACACCACCTACACCACCTACACCACCACTAACACCACCTGAACCACCACCTACACCACTAACACCACTACCTACACCACCACCTACACCACCTACACCACCACCTACACCACTACCTGAACCACCTACACCACTACCTGAACCACCTACACCACTACCTGAACCACCTACACCACCACCTACACCACCACTAACACCACCACTAACACCACTATCACCACTAACACCACTAACACCACCACTAACACCACCACTAACACCACCACTAACACCACCACTAACACCACCACTAACACCACCACCTACACCACCACTAACACCACCACCTACACCACCACTAACACCACCACTAACACCACCACTAACACCACTATCACCACTATCACCACTAACACCACCACTAACACCACTAACACCACCACTAACACCACCACTAACACCACCACTAACACCACCACTAACACCACCACTATCACCACTAACACCACTAACACCACCACTTACACCACTAACACCACCACTATCACCACTAACACCACTAACACCACCACTAACACCACTAACACCACTTACACCACCACTAACACCACTAACACCACCACTAACACCACTAACACCACCACTAACACCACTAACACCACCACTATCACCACTTACACCACTTACACCACTACATGCACCACCTACACCACTTACACCACCACTACCACCACTTACACCACCACTACCACCACCTACACCACCACTACCACCACTACCACCACCTACACCACCGCTACCTACACCACCACTACCACCACTGCCTACACCACCTACACCACCACTACCACCACTACCTGCACCACCTACACCACCACTACCACCACTACCACCACCACTACCACCACCTACATCACCACTATCACCACTACCACCACTTACACCACCACTACCACCACTTACACCACCACTACCACCACTTACACCACCACTACCACCACTACTACCACCTACACCACCACTACCTGCACACCTACACCACCACTACCACCACTACCACCACCTACACCACCACTACCACCACTACCTGCACCACCTACACCACCACTACCACCACTTACACCACCACTACCACCGCTACCACCACCTACACCACCACTACCACCACCTACACCACCACTCTCACCTCTACCACCACCTACACCACCACTATCACCACTACCTACACCACCTACACCACCACTACCACCACTACCTACACCACCTACACCACCACTACCACCACTTACACCACCACTACCACCGCTACCACCACCTACACCACCACTACCACCACTACCACCACCTACACCACCACTACCACCACTACCACCACTACCACCTCTACCACCACTTACACCACCACTACCTACACCACCTACACCACCTATACCACTACCACCTCTACCACCACTTACACCACCACTACCTACACCACCTACACCACCACTACCACCTACACCACCACTACCACCACTTACACCACCACTTACACCACTACCACCACCTACACCACCACTACCTACACCACCTACACCACCACTACCACCACTACCACCACCACTACCACGTCTACCACCACTTACACCACCACTACCTACACCAGCTACACCACCACTATCACCACTACCATCACTTACACCACCACTACCTACACCACCACTACCACCACTTACACCACCACTACCACCACCTACACCACCACTACCACCACCTACACCACCACTCTCACCTCTACCACCACCTACACCACCACTATCACCACTACCTACACCACCTACACCACCACTACCTACACCACCTACACCACCACTACCACCACTTACACCACCACTACCACCACCTACACCACCACTACCACCACCTACACCACCACTATCACCACTACCACCACCATCACCACCACTACCTACACCACCTACACCACCAATATCACCACTACCTACACCACCACTACCACCACTACCACCACCTACACCACCACCACTGCCACCACTACCACCACCTACACCACCACCCCTACTATCACTACCACCACCACTACAACCACCACCACTACCACTACCACCACGACTAACACGACCACCACCACTATCACCACCACCACTACCACCGCCACTACCACCACGACTAACACCACCATCACCACCACTACCACCACGACTAACACGACCACCACCACTATCACCACCACCACCACTACTACCACCACGACTAACACGACCACCACCACTACCACCACTACCACCACCACTAACACCACTACCAACACCACTACCACCACCACCACTAACACCACCATCACCACTACCACCACCACCACCACCACTCACACCACTAACACCACCACTACCACCACCACCACCACCACTCACACCACTAACACCACCACTACCACCACCACCACCACTCACACCACTAACACCACCATCACCACTACCACCACCACCACCACCACCACTCACACCACTAACACCACCACTACCACCACGTCTACAGGAAGAGAAGCGTGCCCGGAGTGATGCGGAGGCTTCCATGGTGGCCGAGCAGAAGAGAGCCGGAGTCTCCATTCCTCTCCTGCCGCTCAGCGATGAGGACCGCAGACTGGCGTCACTCATCACGTTACACAGTAAACACAGTGAGTCACTCATCACGTTACACAGTGAGTCACTCATCACAGTGAGTCACTCATCACAGTGAGTCACTCATCACAGTGAGTCACTCATCACACTACACAGTAAACACAGTGAGTCACTCATCACGTTACACAGTGAGTCACTCATCACAGTGAGTCACTCTACACACTACACAGTAAACACAGTGAGTCACTCATCACAGTGAGTCACTCATCACAGTGAGTCACTCATCACACTACACAGTAAACACAGTGAGTCACTCATCACAGTGAGTCACTCATCACTCATCACAGCAAGCACAGTGAGTCACTCTACACTCATTACGTTACACAGTAAACACAGTGAGTCACTCTACACAGTGAGCACAGTGAGTCACTCTACACAGTGAGTCACTCATCACTCATCACGTTACACAGTGAGTCACTCATCACTCATCACACTACACAGCAAGCACAGTGAGTCACTCATCACAGTGAGTCACTCATCACAGTGAGTCACTCATCACAGTGAGTCACTCATCACAGTGAGTCACTCATCACGTTACACAGTGAGTCACTCTACACAGTGAGTCACTCATCACTCTACACAGTGAGTCACTCATCACTCTACACAGTGAGTCACTCATCACTCTACACAGTGAGTCACTCTTCACGTTACACAGTGAGTCACTCTACACACTACACAGTGAGTCACTCATCACTCTACACAGTGAGTCACTCATCACTCTACACAGTGAGTCACTCTACACAGTGAGTCACTCATCACTCTACACAGTGAGTCACTCATCACGCTACACAGTGAGTCACTCATCACGCTACACAGTGAGTCACTCATCACTCTACACAGTGAGTCACACTACACAGTGAGTCACTCATCACTCTACACAGTGAGTCACTCATCACTCTACACAGTGAGACACACTACACAGTGAGTCACTCATCACTCTACACAGTGAGTCACTCATCACGCTACACAGTGAGTCACTCATCACGCTACACAGTGAGTCACTCATCACTCTACACAGTGAGTCACTCATCACTCTACACAGTGAGTCACTCATCACTCTACACAGTGAGTCACTCATCACTCTACACAGTGAGTCACTCATCACTCTACACAGTGAGTCACTCATCACTCTACACAGTGAGTCACTCTACACAGTGAGTCACTCATCACTCTACACAGTGAGTCACTCATCACGCTACACAGTGAGTCACTCATCACGCTACACAGTGAGTCACTCATCACTCTACACAGTGAGTCACTCATCACTCTACACAGTGAGTCACTCATCACTCTACACAGTGAGTCACTCATCACTCTACACAGTGAGTCACTCTACACGCTACACAGTGAGTCACTCATCACGTTACACAGTGAGTCACTCATCACTCTACACAGTGAGTCACTCATCACTCTACACAGTGAGTCACTCATCACTCTACGCAGTGAGTCACTCATCACTCTACACTCTACACAGTGAGTCACTCATCACTCTACACAGTGAGTCACTCATCACTCTACACAGTGAGTCACTCATCACTCTACACAGTGAGTCACTCATCACTCTACACAGTGAGTCACTCATCACTCTACACAGTGAGTCACTCATCACTCTACACAGTGAGTCACTCATCACTCTACACAGTGAGTCACTCATCACGCTACACAGTGAGTCACTCATCACTCTACACAGTGAGTCACCCATCACTCTACACAGTGAGTCACTCATCACTCTACACAGTGAGTCACTCATCACTCTACACAGTGAGTCACTCATCACTCTACACAGTGAGTCACTCATCACTCTACACAGTGAGTCACTCATCACTCTACACAGTGAGTCACTCATCACTCTACACAGTGAGTCACTTTACACGCTACACAGTGAGTCACTCATCACGTTACACAGTGAGTCACTCATCACTCTACACAGTGAGTCACTCTACACGCTACACAGTGAGTCACTCATCACGTTACACAGTGAGTCACTCATCACTCTACACAGTGAGTCACTCATCACTCTACACAGTGAGTCACTCATCACTCTACGCAGTGAGTCACTCATCACTCTACACTCTACACAGTGAGTCACTCATCACTCTACACAGTGAGTCACTCATCACTCTACACAGTGAGTCACTCATCACTCTACACAGTGAGTCACTCATCACTCTACACAGTGAGTCACTCATCACTCTACACAGTGAGTCACTCATCACGCTACACAGTGAGTCACTCATCACTCTACACAGTGAGTCACCCATCACTCTACACAGTGAGTCACTCATCACTCTACACAGTGAGTCACTCATCACTCTACACAGTGAGTCACTCATCACTCTACACAGTGAGTCACTCATCACTCTACACAGTGAGTCACTCATCACTCTACACAGTGAGTCACTCATCACGCTACGCAGTGAGTCACTCATCACTCTACACTCTACACAGTGAGTCACTCATCACTCTACACAGTGAGTCACTCATCACTCTACACAGTGAGTCACTCATCACTCTACACAGTGAGTCACTCATCACTCTACACAGTGAGTCACTCATCACTCTACACAGTGAGTCACTCATCACTCTACACAGTGAGTCACTCATCACTCTACACAGTGAGTCACTCATCACTCATCACTCTACACAGTGAGTCACACCATCACTCTACACAGTGAGTCACTCATCACTCTACACAGTGAGTCACTCATCACGCTACACAGTGAGTCACTCATCACTCTACACAGTGAGTCACTCATCACTCTACACAGTGAGTCACTCATCACTCTACACAGTGAGTCACTCATCACTTATCACTCTACACAGTGAGTCACTCATCACTCTACACAGTGAGTCACTCATCACTCTACACAGTGAGTCACTCATCACGCTACACAGTGAGTCACTCATCACTCTACACAGTGAGTCACTCATCACTCTACACAGTGAGTCACTCATCACTCTACACAGTGAGTCACTCATCACGTTACACAGTAAACACAGTGAGTCACTCATCACAGTGAGTCACTCATCACAGTGAGTCCACTCATCACAGTGAGTCACTCATCACAGTGAGTCACTCATCACAGTGAGTCACTCATCACTCATCACAGCAAGCACAGTGAGTCACTCATCACAGTGAGTCACTCATCATGTTACACAGTGAGTCACTCATCACAGTGAGTCACTCATCACTCATCACGTTACACAGTGAGTCACTCATCACTCATCACACTACACAGCAAGCACAGTGAGTCACTCATCACAGTGAGTCACTCATCACAGTGAGTCACTCATCACAGTGAGTCACTCAATCACAGTGGGTCACTCATCACGTTACACAGTGAGTCACTCTACACAGTGAGTCACTCATCACTCTACACAGTGAGTCACTCATCACTCTTACACAGTGAGTCACTCATCACTCTACACAGTGAGTCACTCTTCACGTTACACAGTGATTCACTCTACACACTACCAGTGAGTCCACTCTACACGCTATCACAGTGAGTCACTCATCACGTTACACAGTGAGTCACTCATCACTCTACACAGTGAGGTCCTCAATCACTCTACACAGTGAGTCACTCATCACTCTACGCAGTGAGTCACTCATCACTCTACACTCTACCCAGTGAGTCACTCATCACTCTACACAGTGAGTCACTCATCACTCTACACAGTGAGTCACTCATCACTCTACACAGTGAGTCACTCATCACTCTACACAGTGAGTCACTCATCACTCTACACAGTGAGTCACTCATCACGCTACACAGTGAGTCACTCATCACTCTACACAGTGAGTCACCCATCACTCTACACAGTGAGTCACTCATCACTCTACACAGTGAGTCACTCATCACTCTACACAGTGAGTCACTCATCACTCTACACAGTGAGTCACTCATCACTCTACACAGTGAGTCACTCATCACTCTACACAGTGAGTCACTCATCACGCTACGCAGTGAGTCACTCATCACTCTACACTCTACACAGTGAGTCACTCATCACTCTACACAGTGAGTCACTCATCACTCTACACAGTGAGTCACTCATCACTCTACACAGTGAGTCACTCATCACTCTACACAGTGAGTCACTCATCACTCTACACAGTGAGTCACTCATCACTCTACACAGTGAGTCACTCATCACTCTACACAGTGAGTCACTCATCACTCATCACTCTACACAGTGAGTCACACCATCACTCTACACAGTGAGTCACTCATCACTCTACACAGTGAGTCACTCATCACGCTACACAGTGAGTCACTCATCACTCTACACAGTGAGTCACTCATCACTCTACACAGTGAGTCACTCATCACTCTACACAGTGAGTCACTCATCACTTATCACTCTACACAGTGAGTCACTCATCACTCTACACAGTGAGTCACTCATCACTCTACACAGTGAGTCACTCATCACGCTACACAGTGAGTCACTCATCACTCTACACAGTGAGTCACTCATCACTCTACACAGTGAGTCACTCATCACTCTACACAGTGAGTCACTCATCACGTTACACAGTAAACACAGTGAGTCACTCATCACAGTGAGTCACTCATCACAGTGAGTCACTCATCACAGTGAGTCACTCATCACAGTGAGTCACTCATCACAGTGAGTCACTCATCACTCATCACAGCAAGCACAGTGAGTCACTCATCACAGTGAGTCACTCATCATAGTTACACAGTTGAGTCACTCATCACAGTGAGTCACTCATCACTCATCACGTTACACAGTGAGTCCCTCATCACTCATCACACTACACAGCAAGCACAGTGAGTCACTCATCACAGTGAGTCACTCATCACAGTGAGTCACTCATCCACAGTGAGTCACTCATCACAGTGAGTCACTCATCACGTTACACAGTGAGTCCACTCTAACACAGTGAGTCACTCATCACTCTACACAGTGAGTCACTCATCACTCTACACGTGAGTCACTCATCACTCTACACACAGTGAGTCACCTC